TCTGAGACGACATCATGAAACGAAACACGCAAACAAGAACATGGACATGGAGGGGGAAGGGGGATTTCATTAAAAACGGTATACTTACAGTTTGTGACGAAGTTTACCCCGAAAAAAGCAACTCTTTTTAAACGTGAGTATTAGCAGAAACACAATTGCAGTGTTTCTGCAAAGATACGGCAGTGCGTGCTGCGCAGTTTGACGGTTTCCTCCCCGACACAGTGGTCCCGCTGCGCATCCAGGCTGCTCAAACGTTGTCGAAAGTTTGGCAGCACATACGTGTGTGAACAACTATTTTCTTTGATGAAGCTGAACAAAACATCACACAGAAGTCAATTTACTGCTGAACACCCTCACTCAATTTTGAGGATTTGCTCAGCTCAGAGCATGACCCCAAATATTGATGAACTTGTAGAAAAGTTAAGACACCACCGAGTATCAGCCTCAGCCTCAAAGAAGTGAATATTACTTATAATATACTGTGCAATCACATATTAAGAGTTTTTACTCAGTTCAAGTTTAAAAATTAAAGTATAATATTTTATTCGAGTAAATGATCGAAAATTACTGCACTATTATTTGTTTTTCTTTTAAGTAAATTTAGCCTACTTTTGCTAAAAGAGAAAATATGGACTAGTGATAGTGCCTTGAATAATATCGGCTTCTTTCATTCATGTTATGGGTATTTTTATACAAAGGAAATTTTTTTGTGCCTGTTGAAAATTAAAGTTTACTGACATAGCCTTAAAAAAATGTTGCTTTATTTATCTGACCGTATTGGAATGTATTTGTTAGGTTTTCAGTCAATTAAATTTGGTTCAATAAACAATATGTGGTTATTTTTAAAATTTTCAATGAACATTCGATCAGTCCGGCCCTCGGCTTGCAGCAAAAATTTTTATCTGGCCCTCCGTCCATTTGACTTTGACACCCCTGCCTTAGTTGAACACAAAGCTATTATCCTGTTGAATGAATGGCAACAGGTGAATACACAGGTGAATTATGTACTTTCAGCCATCTGCATGAAAACCACTATAATTGTTCTGCCTGCCACGATAGGCGGCTGGAATAGATAGATGAACAAAGTACGCCCCCCCCCACTCCGAAAAAAAAAAATTAAATATACTAGCATAGTCATGTAAGCATGCTCTGCATTTGATGCAGGTAAATGGCACCTCGGCGTGAACTGCGAGCGAAGGGGGGATCACTGTCACCATCCCAATCAGCACGGCTTCAGCTTCTTCTACGGCTTGCCTTTCACCCTTGTCAATGACTGCGAAGCGAAAATGGGGACAGCCATTTTGGCTAACCTGCAGCACGCACTCCGAAATATGGCTGTGTTGCTCATGGTTGGTCTTTTCACACTGGTGAGTCTGATTCAGAACTAAGTAAACCCCACTGCATTGAATGCTGCTGTTTTGGTTATACAGTATTTATTTAGATGACCTTCACAATTCGCTTTAACCTGGAAACTAGAAATGAAACAAAACTCATTTGGTAATTCACACAAAAGGAGATATTTGCTTAGTGTTTGAACTCTTCAAGTAAGAGAAAAGAACGAGTGTTCCAAATCAAGGTTTAGTTCCAGTTTAGACATATATTGGGTACTATTGCACTCAATAGTTTTCCTGATTCACCAGTACTGGGCCAACTCCTGGTTTCAAAATGGCTGTGCCCATGAAGTTAGGCTTTGTTTCCCACAAAAAACATCCCCCCAAAAATAGGTTCAGTGATTGATGGAGGACTCGGTGCCAGTGAAGCTGCAGGTTAATGTTAGGAAATCTTTCGTGAAATATAGATAAATTTGATAGTTGTTGGAAATAAACTAAAATCTCAGGAAAACACCCCCCCCCCCCAAAAAAAATCATGTTTGCAGAACCATCAGCAATAAAATGAAAGTAAAATTCGTCGCAATTTGTAAACCTAACCTCTGGTCAGTCACAATTCAAATTTACGATACTGAGATAATATACTCTGAATGGACGATACTAACAGTGAAGTCCGTTTCTAAGACGTTCTTATTACTCCATAAAGGGATCGTGCTGCAATGACAGCAGTGTTTTTAGCGAAAGAAACAAAACAAGTAACCAGTGATTATGGCAACGTAAGATGGCTGCCCTCTGCTCACGTACGCTTTCTTTCCGGAAGAGTCGCGTGTTTTCCGCCTTGCTTGACTACCCAGTTGAACCGCGCAGCATCGACTGCGGTCCAATTTTTGCAACATCTACTGCAGCTGAACCTTTGCAGAATCTACTGCAGCCGAACCTTTGCAGCATCGACTGCAGCTGAACTTTTGCAGAATCTACTGCCGCCGAACCTTTGCAGCATCTACTGCAGCCGAACTTGCAGCAATGTGGTAAGTTCATAGTTTAACAAATAAACGTGAAAGGGGGGAAAAGTTCATTGGACTCTGTCAGCAGCGCCAACATTTATATGCACTCATATTCGTCATGATTCCATCGATGGTAAGAAGACAAATGAACGTATTTGAACAGATGTCAGTAGGAGAAGGTCTTAAGTCCAGCTTCAGTGTACTCAGTGTTTAACGTCGCTTGGCTCGTCACCTCAACAAAACTTGCTTTTTTATGGCTTGTGTGGCACAACTGTATTCATCATAAACTTTTGCACTCGTAGCTGATTTCGAAACTACGGTTTTCTCCCACATTGCAAAAACATGCATGGCAGGCTCATGGAACACTCTAAATCAATGGTGTCAAACTCAAGGCCCGGGGGCCAGATGTGGTATTTGGCCCGCGAAAGCAAATCAAAAATGTCAACTTCCATGATGTTTGCTAAAATCTCTACCAAAATGTTAAATTCTCACATGTAATAAGAGACATATTGTAAGCATTTTCTTGTTACCAAACCCCTCATTACAGTAACTTAAATAATAGTGGAATACACCGCAATGATTGACTTTTTATACAGTTTCAGTCATAACGGCCCGCCAACGGAAACGGTAACAAAAATGAGTTTGACTCTAATTTAGACTCTAAATTGTCCCCATGTGTGAGTTTGAGCGTGGTCTGCTAAGGGCTGGCAACCTACAGCCTGAAAACTGCTGGGACATGCTCCAGGACTCCCGTGACCCTTGTGAGGATAAGCGGTTTAGAAAATTGATGGATCGACATTTAGTTCTCTTGATCTCTTATTCAACATGCCCAGGAAATCACAATGTCCCATTACTAGTGGGGTATTGACACAAATAGTCAGCTTTTTTTAAGAGGTTAACCTCTAACATAGAGCCATCACGCTACTCAAAATCATAATGCCCATTTATACGGTACAATGTAGTGTTTTATTAACAAGTTGTAAACCTTTGATCCGAGGTATATGATTCCAAGCTGCAAATATTTTGCTGAGGTCGGCAAGCTCTACATAAGAAAAGAGTGTGAGAGAGTTGCTGTATTGCTTTCTGACTCTAAAACATTTTTCCCTCTGCAATTTCTTTAAGGCCTTCCCAGCTAGCACCTCTCATCCTGTTCCTGGTGCTAGCGAGCAATGTCGTCGGGGAGGAGAGCGTCAGGAAGCCCAACATTGTACTGATGATGGCAGACGACTTGGGAATTGGTGACTTGGGTTGCTATGGTAACAACACCATCAGGTCAGTCCAAATTGACATTATAGTCCCGCACCTATGGACAAATACA